CGTCCTACCCATTGGAGTATCCGTACCGCTGCCCGAAAACCTAGTTGTGAAAAACAGGATCCCCTCGGTATTGCTTCAACTGCTTGCCAAGGACTCATGAGAATGCACGACCAATTCAAAACTTTCTGTTAGATGATAGCGCGCTTCCCAGTTATCCTGCACGACGGGGAAAGACCTGCTTTTGGTAAAGCTTCTGAAGATTCAGTCCTGTAGTACTGGTAGTCTAGGCGAATGTACGGTACAGTGCGGCTGCTACACGGTAGTCCTAACGGATCTCCTCGGGTGCAATGGACCAGCCACGATCACCGTAGGCGGCGCCACGGTTTACTGACCGCACAATATATAATAGTACATACATGTATAGTGCTCAACACATACTAGTTAGGTATGGGGGAAAAAAATCACTCTGAGCATTTTTGTCAGACTCGACACAATACGATACAGGTATGTTTCAGCGGAGACAAGCGCTAGGCACCTAACGAATGTTTGAACGTAAATTTAGTAGCACAATTTTCACTACAAACTTGTCCTCAATATGCAAAGTGTGATCTCAGGTCAAGGCGGTAGTTCTGGCTGAATATGCATGTTTGTTGACACATCAATCCAAGGGTTCTAAAAGTAGGAAGCTGAAGTTAAGTGGCACCCAACCGGGAAAACACATCGGGGTAGTACCAACACCTATTAGTAAGACCCATCCACAGCACTAACAACTCTACTCGTCTTCATAGATCCTATCGGTCCTACCAATTCCTCCCCCTACAGTCTCCGTCAAGTCAGGAATCCAACCCTCTGGCCTCTCACTACCCCGGACAATAACCCCACAAACTGCCATCTCAACTTTCTCCACACAAGTCTTCATGACACTAAGCTTCTTTTTAACTTCCTTTCCCAGGAGCCCGCTCCCCCCGCCAAGCGTGGTATCTAAGCTCTCGAACTCTAACCTTAATTCTCTCAGATCTCTTAGAGCTTTAACCACCTTCTCGTCCTTGCCCCCACCACCTCTCGTTGCAATCATGGTGATGGAGAACCTCATCATCTCACCGACCAGGTCGAATATACCCAGGATATAATCCCCGGGTGTTATCTCAATGAGAGATTTTACCGATTGTTGGACGGCCGACAGAGGGATTAATTTACCCGTGGTAAGGTAATGATGGAAGGCTACTGCCTCGATATACTCCTGAATACCCCCAGAGATTTGGCGAGCGTAGCGGTAAGTAGAAATCTCCTGGAGGTCAGGCGAAGCAGTGGATATTATATTTTGAATTTGGTTGAAACGGGTTTCGTACTCCTTGCTAAGGGAAGTTGGAAGAGGTGAGAAAGGTTCGCGAGCCCTGTTAAATAGATTACTTTATGCTGGATACGTTAGAGATGCATAAGGTTGAATACCGTTGAACCGTGAAGATCCTAAAACTGTTAGCTGACGTATCCCCAAAATAGTGAGAGCAATTGCACTACGGGTGTGCGTGTGTGTATACATCTTCTTGCTCAATGCGGTAATATCGCGAGATGCCTTGATTACTCTCTCACGACGGTCGTGATGCTCATCGAGCTCATCACGAAAATGGGTGAACATGGACAAGTAAGGGCTGTTCTGCTGCTCCCGGGTAAGAATATTTTTGGGCCTATGAGGCTCGCCAGAGCGTTGAGAAGTTGGCATTGGAATAGCTTAAAGATCTGTGTTGTGGAAGCACCGATGGTGGACACAGTAGTGCTACCGGTATGTGGTTTGGGGGGGATGCACCCTCTGCAGGATGAGGAACAAGATGATCGGTGATACACATGGTGAGGTATACTGTAGCACACCTGCGCAAGCGCAAACTTGGCATCGACTTCTCGTCCATCGATGTCTCTCCTTCTCCCGTGCCCACCGCTCAGCCCGCGATCGTTCGCAACGCACCCGCACCGCCACTATACCATGAGCCCATCATATCACGATATTCTACCGTAACCCTATCATACCGGTACTCTAATAACTCTACTGTGCTCGAATCACCCTCACGGCCCAAATATAACGCCAAACAATACGGGTCATTCGTCAGATACGGTAAGGTGAGAAAAAGGGCTGCGCTTTCCCCCCCATGTTGGCCGCCCCGTCCGAAGATATTACGTTTCCTGTAATCTTCTTGGATTTGTTTCACAGAGAGTGAAATGTTTTTCTAGCATATGTGTTCTCTCTTTCTCTCCCCCCCAAATTTCACAAGCACCGGTATCCAGACACCCTTACGCCAAGGCCCACCAAAGATGCAGAACCTTGCCGCCTAGGTGTCTGAATGCCGGTATCTTTGAAATTCGCTGGCTAAGTGAGAGCTCCGAAAGGAGCTCTGTTGCCGTACCGGTAATCCAGAGCTGGGCAGGGGTTTTCCTAAGACCCTGAGGGGTGTCGTGGCAGCATGACTTGGGCACACCAGAAATAGTTACCGTATGATACCAGTACTGCTGGTCGGACTGCGGCGGTAGATCAGAGCCAGGCACAATTGATGGATTGAACTGTATGGTCGGGGCTTAGAAGGGCATGGTGTTGTTGAATCTGGCTTTTAAATTCGCGATATTATCGACACCTTGATAGTAATACAGTATAATATTATGGGCCCTCTCTCACCATTCTTGGTCGCGTGCGCGCGCGTTGTCATTCATGGTGTCATTCCCTCAAACCGTTGCTATTTACACTTTTACTCGTACAATACTGTACGGTACTCGAGTACTGTACCGTACGGTACAGCCCCTGGGCTGCTTCCTCCGTGACCAATAACTTGATTGTGAACCCCTCCTCTCGAAAGCTCTTTTTCTCTACAGTACCCAATTGATAAACCTATTCTCGCAGTATCCGTGCTGGTTGTTCCTCTTGATTCCCTCAAGCTTCCATCATATCCAAGCAACCTGAGCCCAAAGTACGAGGGTACGGGTATTATACACCATCTCCGACCTTCCCCTATTCCCGTCTGCATAACTCACCCTCCTGCCCAATTTCTCCAGATACTTATCCCTCTCGCTATATTCCCCTCGTTCCCACCACCGTCATCACCCTCCCCCCCGGTCTGGAGGAGATCCTCTCATTATCCCACTTGTCATCTAAGCTAACCTGCGAGAGTCTCGCTTGCCTGAGACCCCCAGCGTGCGGTTGCGCTGCAAACTTATTGTCCGGATACCTGGAGGGCAGGGGCACTGGCCCAACGCTATCCAGATTCCACCACCACCACCACCGCGGCCCTCTAAGCAACCAAACCTAGCCTCATATCCTGCACTGCTGCGAGACCGCTTGTAAACATCGCAACAGTACCACATCTCCCCACCACCGTCTCATTCCTCTCGTCTCCTCTCCAACTCCCTACTGCAATCACCCGTTCGTCAACGTTCCCCCTACCAACAAGCTTCTCATCTTCCAACCAAACACGGCTACCCACCACCAGCCTAACCTCTCGTCCTTCTCCCCCCTTTTCCCTCCCTCTTCCACCAACACAAACAGAGGAGTCCCACCCGCCGACACCCGCTCCTAGTGACAACGCCGGCAAAGCAAGCTAGCCCGGAGGAGAAAAAGAAAACCGCTGTTCGCGCACCCGTTCAGCCACACCAAAAGGAAGTACGACCAACTCCCTCATGGCCTCTCCGGAATCGAGCCGCATCGGGGGGGCTCGTCCCTCCGGCGGTGGTGGTGTAAAGGGTCTCCGGGCAATGTTCGAAAACTCTGCCAGCCCCGCCAGTGGTAATGCCTCACGCGATATCAGCCCTGGCCCTAAACCACTGGGCAAAGTCAGGACTTCATTCGTGGCGGTTACAGGAAACAACGGTCAAATGTTGGGACTGCAAAAAATATCCGCTCCTCCTAGCCCGACCGTTACTACGGATGGGGGGAAGTTTACACCGGGTTTTCAGGATAAGGATAAGGTGATTCATGATAAAATAATCAAGGAGGGGGGAGGTGCCGAGCCCGTCAACGGAGCTCCAAAGGTGGAAGAGCCCAGGAAGCTCGAGGCCAAAACAGATTTCAAGAGGGATGTTAAGAGGGAAATCATGGTTGAATCGAAAGGATCCCTTAATGGATTCTCTACGCCAAAACGGTCGCCCACCATCCCAACCCCCACATCCGAAGGAGTTCAAATCAAGATGGAGGATGAGACCCCCCAGAGGCCTCTTGAAACGATACCCACGCAAGCGGAGGAAGAGCGGAAGGATACAAAGCTCGCGAAAACCGATGACCCCAAGCCAAGGCCCGCGGCCATCAAAACCGGCCATGCTCCCAAATCTCCCACGAAACCAGGCTTCAACTCCCCGAGATTGAACAGATCATCTGTGAAGTCACCCACTGCGTCTGGCAACACGCTCACTCTCCCCACATCCAGAACCACCTCCACTTCCCCATTGCCCTCCCCAACTATTCCGAGAAGCCCCGCTCGTGGTGCTTCATCAATTACTGGCAGCGCGACTAGCAGAAGGCCCGCCTCTACCTCGAGGGCTTCCTCCAAGACTCGTTCGGCCGCTACATCTACATCTAATACGCCTATCAATCCCACTTTTAACACAAGCTCCAACGATGCAACCTCATCGGCAGCTTCCAAGACTCGGCAACCGGCCACCTCTAAGACAAGAACCGCCGCTCCACCCAAAACCGAGCAGAAACCTGTTCAGTCAAGGGAGCCAACCAAGCCAGCAGCCATGCGCGGCTCAGCTTTTGGTCCTACCGCGGCTTCCGCGGCAAAGTTAGCGGCGGATCAAGCCAAACAGCCTACAGCCCGCCGCCCTCCCTCTTCTGCGTCCGCTATCCGTCAGACCTCTCCAAATAACAGACCACGTCGCCCAGAGTCTAATTTAGGTACTCGACCTACTGCGCGTAAGGCTACAAAGTCCCCAGTTAGACCAGCTACCTCCGCCACCACCCGAAGCAGCCGAACAAGCACAGAATCCACCACTAGTGTTGCTCCGGTTGGCGGCGATTTCTTGTCCCGCATGATGAGACCAACCACTGCAAGTGCTAGCAAGGTTACCGATAAAAAGCAGATACCAACTCATCAGCCACCGAAGAGGTCTGGCTCGGTGACCAGTACAAGTCGAAGAAAAGAGGCATCTTCGCTCCCTTCGCCGAAAGTTCGATTGCAAAAGGAAGATACGCGACCCGAAGGTTCCGTCATCGAGGAGCCTGTTATCCAAAATCCAACTGAATCTGAGGGCTGCGTGAAGGCAGAGATAGAGGCCAATGCCGTGGCTGTCCCTGAAGCAGCAGCCTCCGAGCCCAAACAGATCACCGAGGTCGTTACAGAGCCAGAATCGATTCCCAACGAACTTAGCGTCGACACTACTGCAAGCGAGATCACCAGCACCCACACTCAGAGCCCCTCGGTCGCTGGACATGAGGAGGATGAAGGGCAGACTCCTACCACCAGTGCTTCATCCACCACCCTCGTACACGAAGGTGATGTTCAAGAGGAGGTCGCAGGCAAAGAGTAAGCCCTCTTTTTCTCGTCCTCATCCTCCGAATTATATCCTAATTCGAACCTTAGGGAGTAAGTAACGGTCCGGAAACACAACTCTCAATGAGGAATGGGCGGAAAACGGCTGTTCCAATATGAAAACCGCAAATTAACTTTATGGGGAGGGCTTTCTATGTCTCTAGTTTGACGAAATCTTTGCATTCGGCGTGGGGTGATCGGGGATGGGATTCGTCTTCATTTCCTTGTTATATCCTTTTACATCCCTTTCCCTTTCCCTCTTTCTCTCTTTTTTCCCGCCCTCCCACTTCTCTAACGCCAATGGGAATTTTATGTGAACTTGGAACGATCGAGGATAACATGAGTTCATTTGCCTGCCTCGCTCTTAAAGCTTCTTGATTAGTCGTTTTCAACTCTCTCTTAGTCACTTTTAACCATATCATATAATCACTAAATTCCCGAAGTCCTCTCGTTTCCCAGTCATTTTCCTATTTTTGCTCTTTTTTTTTCTACCACTCGTGATTTTCGTTCTCCTCACTGCATCTTTTCGAATTACGGCGTGTTGGGATTAAGGTAACTGGGTGCGTATTCTTGATTTTCCTTTCCTTCCTTCATCCACCTTCACTATCCGGGCCATTTCGACGACGTCATCTCGACACCGTCATGAGCTCTTTTTTATCTCCTTTCCTCTAACGGTAAATCGGAATTATAGTTATTGTAATGCTGCTTTTTTGTTCTTTCCCTTCCGTCTTGTTCGGTTACCCTTCCCCCCTTCCTTCGTTTCATTACATATCACTTTAGACGGGTAGTGTAGGGGAATAAGAGTGCTGCCTGTGGATTTCCCCGAGTGATGTCTTATGAGGCTCATTCCTCGGCGTGGCTTGCATGTGGTAAAGCTGATGCATACTTGTGGTGGTACCGGTAGGACTGGTAGAACTGGTAGCAGGGCCACCGGAATAGATTGCCTGTACTAGTGCTGTCGTATATTTGGAGTGTGTTACAATAGTGTTTTGAACCCGCGAGTCGCCTCATCGGGGAACCTTGACTGCATTGCGGATACTGGAAAGCGCCGTCCAAAAGGTAGTTGCATAGTATGAGGCAAGCTAGGTGCACCAGAGGTGAATATTTCGGTGCCTAGTGGAGTTCCGTGGTGCGTCCGACACCGGATACTCCCCGTAATGTCTAGCAGTGGGTTTGATGGGGGTAAAAGATCGCAATCAAAATTTCCCCTCCACGGTAAGCCCAAAGATGTTTAGATGTCCGACATCAAAGAGCCATCCACCCAGGACTGAAAGGAAACACCCCATGCACCGAGGAACAGCTTTCATTGGTCTATTCTCATGCTATCTTGTCATCCCCCTTTCTAGGGGCCATGGCGAATCTAGCTAGGTGCCTCAAGCTTTTCCTCCACCTTAACTATCAAACATATCTCCCTGCATTCTACTATGAGGAAAAGTCTACCATCAGTAATTCTCGTGCTATTGTTCATTTACAAGCACAGGCCGCGTGAGCTAGCCTACCGGTACAATCCATACTAAGGGGGGGGGGGCTGTGAGTTTGTTTTCTTCTCTTTCGTAGGGCCCAGTACGCTACTGTGCTGGCGCCGTAGCAAGCAAGTTATGGAGCTGTGAGTTAAGCTTCATTGCCCGGGGGATATATCGGGCTCGGGTAGGTAGCCCGGATACACATGGCTTTCCCAAAATCCTGAGGCAATATGGATGGGTTGGGCCGAAAAATATGAGGCGTTTCGCACTTCCGGTGAGTGCCATTCCATAGCCGAGTGATAAATTATGGTTTGGGGTCCCTGGCCCCTCAGATACCGGCAGATGAGATCAACAGTGCCAAGAAGCCAATCATGCATGTGGCAACCAAAACAAACCACAACAACAACAAAGGTCAAGTGAAAAACGACCCAGACCAATTCAACCATCCACTTCGTTCACTCCCTTAGACGCGAGCCTATCTTTCGCCCACAACAGTCTTCCCCTCTTTCCCACACCTACTTTACTTCCTTTCTATTCAACTATTCCATCCTTTCCCACGGAGTCTCGACCTCTTGATGTTCGAGTAGATTCCCGCCTTGTGTATTATTTTTCCACACCAATATTTTGAGTTTGGAAAACTATCTCGAAGATAGTAAAATCAAAGAAAATCCGGATCACCAACCAAACCCATTACCATGGCCTACTACGAGGTGACGGACACTATGTCCGAAAGTCACGTCTCCCTTCCTTCCAACATTCACGACCCTGAAAGTGACCGACTACGCCTTGGACGCGAACTCGCGCGCGATTTTGGTCACGATTCTTTCACTTCTAATTCGTCACGCGGGGGTGCAAACGGCAATAACGGCGATGAAGAAACCGATACCTTGGGATCTTTTGACATATCAAGAGATGCTCGCGGAACCTCTACGCGGCGTGTAGACATGCTACAACACACACCCACAATTGACTCACGGTTGTTCTCACAAGAGTTTGCAGACTTCACAATGGCTGGCCGCGACGATGATGATGAGGAGATTACCGATAGCATAGAGATGGGAAGAGGTGATAATAACAACTCTGGTTTAAGGTCGGTAGACTTTTCATCATATATTCCGCTCTCCATTGGAGCTGGCAGCCGCAGGAAGCAGGGCCGTAAGATGCCTAGCTTCTTTTCCACCGCCTCGCCGAACCCTCCCGCTAGACTACAGAGCATCTCGAGCACACGTTCAGACCCTTCTGAGTATCTACAAGCCTCAAAGCGAAGGAGCGGTGTTTCTACCACCCACAAACTAAAGGAAAGGGCCAAACCAGTTCAGGAATCTCAGGGTTTGGGTGGTCTTACGGGATTTGATCTGTCACAAATCGAATTATCCACCCCAAAAAACAATTCAAGAGGTCGATCAAGGCTTGGAACTACTGGGACAGGGACTGGAGCCTCAAAGATATCTGATTTTGTGTCGAACAGTGGTAGTGGGGGATCACGGTCACGATTTCGGGGCGGGCAATCGAAGAGCCCGCGCGACGAGCACGGGGACACCGCCTCGGACGCCGGTAGCGTTTCTGGCCGAGCCCGCCCTTCGAACACCCGTTTCGCGTCATCAAAACCAAGACAAATCTCAAGCGGTGTACCCGGCGGAGGCGCTCGTGGGGGTCGGACGGCAAAGGATGATGACCTAACGGCGGACGTGCCCGCAATCGTTGCCAAAGCTCGGAGGACAGGCACCGGCACCGACAAAGCGGTCCCAAAGTCCTTCAAGTCTACTGACGCTTTCCTGCAAGAGCTAGGCCTAGATGGGCACACTACTACAACGGACTTGAAAGAAAGATTGGACAAGCTGAAAGACGTTGATGCCGGAAGGGCACCGGGGTTTTATAAACCTAGTGATGAGACTATTGGCATTACCCAACATTCTTTCCTCCTCCCACAGATGTCAGATCTCTCAGAGCTTATTTCTGGCCACCCTGGTGATGCAACCAGGTTTTCCCGCAAGCGTACGTCTACGGGATTTCCAAAGACCCACAAACCTCTCGAATCGATTCCTGTTCCTCACGACGAGCGAGCAATCCTTATGGCGATGAAATTATTACAAGACAAGGTGGAAGCTCTCGAAGGCTCGAAAGCAGAAGCTGAGCAACAATGTATACATTTGGAACATGAATTGAGAAGGAGTGAGACAAGACTTCGCCAGGAGCAACATCGGGCAAAGGCAGCAGAGGATGGTCTCATAAGAAAGAGAGGTGGGGATAGCGCATTTGGTGGAAGCAACGATGGCGACGCGGAGGAGAGAGCCAAAGAAAAAATGAAGCTAGAACACCAGATGGAGAAGCTCAGTGCGTTATCACTTTTATCCCTTGTTAAAGGCATTTTCGCTCACAATAGTGCAGAATTGGAAACCACCATCAACAGCCTTCGTACTCAGCTGGATATACTCACTCGAGAGCTTGAGGTTTCTAAAATTGCCTTGAGGCATATGCAAGAAGAGCGCAACTCGGCCATCAACTCCGTTGCGATGGCAGTTTCTACCAGTGAGGACCTCAAGGCAGTGAATGAGGAGCTTCGAATCGAGATTGCTCACCTCCGGCAAGGGCGCCCCGGTTATGATCCCAAAGACAAGGAGTGGGAGATTCGTGAGGATAGGATGCGGCGAAAGGCCCGAGCGGTTAGGGACGCCGCAGTAGTTGCCGAAGTTGTCGCAAGGGACACAACCCGACGCGAAAAGAGCAAGGAAGTTGCGGCGAACGGAGAGTCTGCCATGGCTGAAAGACGCGAGCAACGGGCAAGAGAGAAGGAGGCCGAAAAAGCAAGAGAGCACTTGGAGATTGAGGGGAAGAAAATTGCAGAAGAGCAGAGAGCAAGAGAGAGGATTGCCTTGCAAAAGGAGCGATTTGACAAAATGGTTGAACATCAGCTTAGGAAGCTTCGTCCGGACCTTTTCGTGGCCGGGTCGGATATTCCTGCTGCCTCATCATTGACCGTTAACCGGGCTTCAGTACTGGAACCAGTTGGACGTAGAAGGGAAGGGGTGCGGGCACAGAGAAAGGGAAAGAAGGATACTCGTTCTGGTGGGGCCCGCGGATATCCTGCTACTAGTGATAGCGAGGCATCGCCGGTGGAAGCCCAAGGCACACAAGCCACTTCTAAGGATAACGAGCAAAATGATCTTTCGACTGGTGACGATACTGTCATGTCTATTCCCGTGAGCCCGATCGTCGTTACCCTTCTGATACTATTTTCTAACCGTCACTTTAGCCCGATGAAATCAAAAGGATTGCAAAAGAAATCAACGCCGAAAGGCGCAAGAGAAAAACTGCTGCTGCGAATGCTGCCCAAGAACCAGCGCTGTCCGGCCCGTGGACCAAGGACCAGGCGAAGAAGGCCGTAATACCGAAAGCCTCGATCAGGAAGTCCGCCAAAGCGTCTGCCCCAATGGGCGAGAAGATCGAAGAAACTACTGCTCCTATCAGTCGCAAACCTAGCGCGTCTAACAAACCTGCCAAAACCGTCAGAATCGCTAAGAGCGATAAGGACAATAGCAAAGCGGTCGACAATTCAGCCCAAGTCACTGCCACATTACCCGCCCAACCCCGGGCGCAGCCACAAGTTTCGGCTACCGTATCTTCTGATGCTGCTGTACAAGCTTCTCAGACCTCCCGAAGGCCACGGAGGAGGAGAGTCGTTAAGAAGGTGGTTTACTATTATGATGAGGAGACTACAATGAGTTTCCCTATTGAGGAAGAGGTTGAGGAAGAGGTGTCTGAAAGCGAGGGTGAGGAAACAGAAGCTTTGAATGGGCAGGCTCGACAGCAATTGCCCGAGCCAGACCACGATGAAGAGCACACATCTCATGAGGAAATGTCTTACGAGGATCCTATGACTCTCCAGGAGTCCATGATTCTTCCACCCCCCCCTGCTCCTCAAGTAGCGGCCCAGCCGGCGCCTCGGGAGACACATGACGCCCAAAGCATGGTTGATCACCTTGCCGGGCATGATCCTGAATCCTGCACCGTCTGCAAACGCATGCAGAAACTGAGACAGAAGGAACAAGAACAGAAGATGGCTAATCCTCTGGCTGATATTGATAATTCAATGGCATTCCCCGCCCCTCCCCTTGAGCCTGTCTCTACAAGGAGACCAGAGAACACCGGGTCATATGAGGAAGAAGTAACCCCTAGGCCATCGCAGGAACCAAAAACCCAACTGAGTAAGGTTGTTCGTCAACTCCAAGACGAATTTGCGCATATTAAATTGTATGTTCCTTCCCTATCTCTTCCCCCCATTTATTGTCGTGTGCTGACTTTTGTGAAATAGAGCGTACCAAAACAAGGCGGAGGAGTTCATGAGCCTGGACCCATCAATGGGGAAGAGACGCCGCAAGGCACTCACTGGGGAGATGAATGAACTAGTGGCAGAGATGGATTATAAGTGTGACCAGATATACGCATTGTACGATGTCAACGAGGAGTTTGACGTGAGAATGGATTCCGAAGATGAGGAGGATGAGGATGAGGAAGAAGATGAAGAGGAAGACGAGGGTGATTTGACAGAATGGACTATCCCAGAGTCCTTCGTCCTTGAAAATGGCGGGAATGGCGATACCGAAGGCTCTACCAATGACGAGGAAGAGAGAAGTTGAGTTTGCCATTCTACCTGGTGCATGCATAGTTGTTTTCGCGTTTAAAATTATTGGAGTCATGGGTTTTTGGGTACTTTTTTATTCATTACTGTCTTATTTTTCCCCCCCTTGCCGATGGTTTCGGGGATGTATAGTTCCGTTAATGTTATCGGGGTTGGTTAACGATTTTTTATTTTTCATTAAATTTTTATTTTTATTCTGCCGCCGCACCTGCGGTTACGTGCAGGACCGTATGGTAAATGTATTGTGCAATCGTTGAGGGTAAATGACAACCTTCGAGTGATAAATTGTGAGTGACTCGTTGCCTGTGCAATGTTTTCCCCAACTCTTCAATATGCACGGTATCTTGAAGTATATTTCTTGGAGTATGCGCATCGAATATCGTACTGGGCTGTGGATATTACCTTGGTTAAACGGGCACCATACTATAGATTTACTCGTATTGACCTTAATAAGCTTTCCGGTAACGTTATTCGTTCGATGACCATCTCTCTCGAAAATGACTATTATACTTTTTGCTAGGGCCTACCAGTATCCCAAACGGTTTATTATTGTACATGAAAGGGAATGTATGTGGGGCTAAGAGAGAGCATAGGGAAAGGGAAGGAAACAAAAAAAAAAGTGGGACGTGGGGGGAATCTACGAAACTGCATCGCTTATCATCAAGTCTGTATATGTTGTAGCTCTCTTCTCCTCCTCTATCCGTGTGGCCTCCTCATCAACAAAGAAAGTAAGGCCAGAAAAGGCCTCGAACAACGAGCGTCCGTAGTACTCCTCAACGAAATAACCGCCGGCCTGCGCTGCCATATCGTTTCGGACATTCTCCAGCCATCTGCAATGATTTAGATATGGTGCAAAATGGCAGCCCAGGGGAGGAAGAGAACGTACTTATTCTCGTAATAGTCTTGAACGACATAGTGTTCGTTAGTATCATTGAGCCCACCAAGCGGATTGAAGGGGCCATCTTCAAGGATTTTCTTCCTGGTCCCGGCCAACAGCGAAGACTTTAGCAACGACCGCCCCTCAGCCAGACTCTTCAACTTCATCTGCTCATCCGCCTGCCTCCTCTTCCTCTCCCCAGACCTCTTCAACTGCACCTCCTGGATAACCTTGACAGCACCCTTATCCCCGCTCGCCAGCGCATTCAACGTAGCAGCCTTCAACTCCTCCTGCTCCCTGCGCTCCTCCTCACGCTCCCTGACCGCCATTTCCCTTGCCAACCTTTGACTCTCCTTCTCCGCCTCGGTAGCCTGCGCGAACGCCATCATCTCGGCTGCTTGTCGGGCCGCATTAGTACTAATGAGCTCCTTATTTGCCGTCTCGTACTCGACAAGCTTCGCCTCGGTCTCCTTCACGTCGATCTTGTTCACTAGGTTGAACGTGATCTGCTCCACCTCCTCCAGATAGTCATTGTACTCGCGAAGGGTGTCGAAGTCATCCTGGCGCTTGTTGAAGGTTAGCGCCACCCGCTTTCGCACGTCGACCTCGCGCTCGACGGCCACGTCCTCGAAGGTCTGCTTGCGGAACTTGTTCTTGCGAAGCGTCTTGCCGCACGCGATTACGGGACAGGGCGCCGGGCCCTGCATGAAGATCCGGTCGACGCAGGATTCACACATTTTGTGGTAGCACACCGGGTTCATGAGGAAGCGGATGTTTGGGTTGAGGTAGCGGGAGGATTTGCATACCGGGCAGTTTTCGTCTGGTGGGGCACCAGTTAGTACTTGGGTTGTTATGCTATGTTTATACAGGGGATCTAGAGATGGATAGAGAGAAAGGGGGAGAGGGGCAGAAGGGGGGGACTTACCATCATCTCTGAATAACGGGTTCGACATTGTCGGGTTCGTGTTTGGTTTGATTGGACCTTAACCTTAAGATGGAGTGGAGGGAGGGAGGTCTGCGGGTATGTTATGCCTCAGTGGCGTTTGTTGGTCACGGTATTATATACCTTACCTCGCTTTGTCGTAGTACCGTATGATATGATAATAATATTATTATATCATATAACTCGAGCCTCAGGCCCAACTGCTTAAAAACCGAAGCCTGAGAGGATCCCCCGAAAACCCGAAGGAAAAAAAGAACCCCCCCCCCCCCCCAACAACAACACTGGAAAATGCAACCAAAGACAAGGGGAAATAGCGAGAAACGATGGAGCAGAAAAGTACATAGCAATTTTATTCCGTGTATCATAACCCCTCTCATACGGCAACCGGGCACATTCTTTGATGAAATGCGATATTCCAAAGGCGGCGAGTGGGTTAGGGCTACCTTCTCTCTTCCAGCCTCTTCCTCTTCTCAGGAGAAATTCCAATAGTGGAAGGGAACCCCATGTCAGGTTTCTTCCACCCACCCTTCCTTCCCCTGTTTCCCACAGCAACAGCTTTCCCTCTGTTCCCCCCCCCTGTTCCCTATCCTCCGTGAATACCCTCATCGTTGCCATGCCCGTTGAAATAGAGCGATCACTTGAGCTCCATCGTCAACGTCTGGAGGCTTCATTGGAGAAGCTGAGGAAGGCACTCAGGCATTGGCAGATTTCCTCTGCCGAATATGAGGCGTTGAGGGAGGAACTGCAGGCGTTACCTGGTGATGCTACGCATGAGGATATGGTGAGAAATATCCCGAGCGAACGTTTGCTAGGTGGGAAATGCTGATTCGAACGAAGTTAAAAGTTAAGAGTGGATTTGGTGGGACTGTGGTTGATGAGAAAGGTGTGTTTTTCTCGGCTTTCTTTGTTTTCTATTTTTCTCCCCTTCTCCCTCGTTTGAGAATGCGGGACTTATTTTGGATGTTTAGATGTGAAAGCACTACTAGGTGATAATGTTGGCATAAAGAGAACAGTTGATCAAGCTATTGCGGCTGTGGGTCACAGAATCAATTGTTCGCTCCCTGAATATTCTCCCTGCATCACCGGGGATCTGACACTAACGAGACAAAGACGTCCAGGAGAACGTGGATAAGGTTCGGAAACAAATCGATCAAGGCGAAAATAAACTTGGTTCTCTTCTCGTTGTTAGTGAGCCAGATGTGGGTTATCCCTTCAAATCGTCTATGGCTGCTTCACGACTGACAGCTCAGTAGCTTAAAGCAGAAGACGATTTACCAGTTATGGATATTCGTGAAGAGCTAGATGAGGATGGGAACATTATCAGTCAGTCATCATCTCCCGTCCCTACCACCCTGCTACCGGATGATCTTTTTTGAGGTAGATAGCTAAGGTACATAGATACCACCATCAACGGGGCCGACCCGAGCTCAGCGAAAGCCCTGGATGCTACACCACTTGAACAGCTCCGGAAGATAGTCGAAAAGGGTGAAGATGCAAAGGAACAGAAACAGCCGGCTGAAACCTCAGAGGGATCCTCGGGAGATAAGCCAGCAGAGGCGTCTGACCCTCCCTCCCGGGTGCCATCTCCAAGCATGCGAAAGAGTGATAAAACCCCGGCGAAGAACGAGCTGGATGGCCCCAAACCCATATCTCTTAAAGATGAGGAGGGCGGTGGCTTTATTAGGGTTCTAGAAGACCCAGCTCTGAAGGAGGAAGACTTTGTAAAGGAAGTACCGACTGATTCACTTGAGGAGGCCGAGATGAGGAAACAGATGCTCAACTATAACTTGCAAGAAATTGGGGCTGTAGTGGCGGAAATCAATCTTGAGGAAGAGGGGGTATATTATGGGCATGAAGACGACTTGGATGAAGAGACAGATGAGTTGGATTCTGAGGATGAAGACCGCTATGGACGCACTGCTACCCGGGTCATCACTCCCGAATATCAGAAGGAAATGGAGGACTTGGCCCGCAAGATCAAGGAACGTGGAGCAGCGGCAAGGGCAATGGAGGCAAAGATGCGGGAGGAAGAGAGTCAACAAAGGAAGGCTGGAGCGGGGACTCAAAGGCCGAAGCCGAAAAAAAAAGGTGTTCGGTTTGCCACAGAGCCAGAGATATCTCCAGTGCCACCACCCATGCTTGACTTGCCAGTACCACCGTCAGCTCATAACACGGAAGATGCTCTTCCATTATTGGTTGATCTACTTGCTATGGATGCTATGCGGAAGAGCGGGGCAGTGCCCGGGAACACAACGCCTGTAAAGGAGAAGGGACCCAGCATCTTTAAGAGTGAGAAGGTTAAAGCCCAGAATGGAAGGGTTAGAGAGGTCCGTGAACGGATGGTTCCTACATCTGTTGTTAGTTCGGATGTCATGGAACGCCCTGCAGATGACGGGTCGGCCTCGTTTGAACCTCCTACGTCAGGACCACGGAAGGTTTCACGGTTCAAGGCGGCAATGGCTACTCAGGACAATGATGCCGACAATGGTGATGCCTCACCTCCTAAAACCAGTACGAATCGTTCCGTTATTGAGCGGGAAGTGTCTGAATCTACCCCTGTTCAGCCACCTGACGAATTAGATCCTTCCACTCACAGAGCTGAGGTTGCAATTGAGTATCACAGATTAAGAAACAAGATGATACAGCAGCAGCAGGGCGGATTTGTCGAGAGTGAAGGAGAGATGGCGAAGGTGCCACTAGACAATAATGGGGAAACCCGGAAAGTCAGCCGATTCAAAGCGGCAAGAATGAATAGATTGGCACTATCATAAGAGTAGCTTAGAGGGAGATAGTAGGTTCTATAATACGACATCTCATATCGCAGCCAGGTATGGCTTTCGCGCCCATCTCTAGGTTCTTGAACGTTCTACCCTTTCTCCCCCTCATTTTCAGACGTGACCTGTATCCCTCTTCATTTCTATATCAGGCTCTCCTGCCCACGGAGTGAGGGGGGTAAACATAGGAACATCGAGCTTTAGAATGTTTAGTGGGTTTACTCCATCTGCTAAGCATAATTCGATAAGATTCCAAGATTGAACTCTATTCAGTAGTTATGATACCAGGGTCCTCTGATGTGCGTCCTGTAAAGCTATTGGACGTGACAATTCGTTTCACCCAGGACATTTTTTTCTGCTTTTATAGTAGTCAAAGAAGGAAGTGAATGGATGATACAGCGCTGAGCATGTAATATCGCAGCTATGATAAAGCCAGTTTTTCCCTGTTTGAGAATCCGAATATGATACCAGTAACCATATCTTACACTCACAACCACCAAGAAGAGCACGTGTCACGACTTCCTCTTCCTCTCCCTAGCCGTCCTTTCAGCCCTCTTCTCCTCCTCAGCCAGTTCATCCTGGCGAACCTGTTCCTGGTACAACTTATCCGCATGCATCTGAATCCTCTCATCTACCTCAGCAGACCTCGCGAAATCCGACATGTATCCCATAGCCTGGAGGAACTTCTGCCATTCCCCTCGCCATTAGCCCCCCCCTCCCTCCACAACCCCCTCCTCCCTCCTTCCCAGAAAAGGTTAAACGTACCGTCTGTGTAGTATAACAGTCCTGCAGCTGCCCCTTCTCAACACCGCACCCACGCGCCTTTTGCGCAAAGCCGCCGTGGCGATAGCACTCATGCAGCGCGCTCTGCTCGCCCACGCAATTCTCGAGCGCCGCGCGTGCGATCAGGCTCTTGCGGTACTTGTACGCCTGTAGGATATCAGCAAGCTGTTCCTGCGAGGATTTCGAAGCTTGTGTGAAGCCCTGTGGGGTGTATTGGGCCCAGATGTCGGCGTAGCGATCGCCATAGGGGGAATTGGCGGTCCGGGGGTTTTGTGTGGGAGAGGGGGTTTCCGGGGCTGCGGGGGTGGGGGTGGGTCCGTCCGAGGGCTGTAGTGGGGGGGGCGAGGAGGGCTTAAGTGGGGATTCTTTCAGGAGAAAGTCCCGCAGCGCTGGGTCCAGGTGGCTGAGGGGGTTGGAGGGGTTGTCGGTGCCTTTGGGCGAGGAGGATCCCCAGAACCAGCCCATGGTTGTGGGATTGAGGTGGATGCTGCAAATGGGTTTTTGGTGGGGGTGGAGGGGCAGGATTTGCTGGAGTGGTGTCTATGGTGTGGAAACCTAACCCTGGAGGGATGACCACCATCACCAGATTCCTTGGGGGTGGGGCTGAAGTGATCAGTTCGAATTGTATGGTGAAGGTATATATGATAATATTAACTTACGATACATTATGATAACAGAACTCTCTTTCAAACCCACGGTCTGAACCGCAAATATCACGATCACGAACCCCAGAAAGTTCACCAATAATCACTCGAAAGTACGGTGGCGCTAGGATTACGTTTCCGGGAAGGGGGGGGTTTCTGCCAAGCCACTCCCGTGCAGCGCGCATCAACACCCACAGATCCTGGACGCGTTACTCTTCCGTTTCCTGTCAACCCAACCGTTATTTTTTTTTTAATTTTAAAAAGAAAGCCATTTGTTGCCTCTTCCTCTTTCCCCCTTACCCTCGTTCCTCTCGCCTCAACCTGGCGATGGCTTCATCTCGTGGGTATCCTAACATTGTTTCCTGATATTCGGCTGGGGTAATATGCTAATTTAGAGGCAGAAAACGAAAGGTACCAAGAACGACTGGCTGCGCGACAGAGGGGTGCTGGGTGAGTTTTGATTTTTCGTTACCGGTGTAGCAAGTTCTACTGGCTAAAGTGTTCTAGAACACACAAGATCCAGAACTTGGGATTTTCTATACAGCCTCTTGTACCGCCTGCCCGTCCGGCAACCCCCCTTCTAGCAGAGGCTCCTCCGGCCGAACCACCGAAACAAGTAGCACCACCAGCAGGTCCGGTGCGAAGGTCGCCGAGAACTACTCCAACTCCTCCACCACACCCTTCAGGAGAAAAGAGAAAAGCAGGTTCGCTATTGCCTTCTCAAGATCGCGCAGAAAGTATCTTAACCTTCCCAGGTCCCTCACCACTCCGAAATGAAGCCTCTTCCACTCCAGAGGAGACGCCTACGGTTGCACCCCCGCGGCGAGTATCACCTCGTACACAGTCCACACTCGCTATTACGCAAATCAGATCGTCTGTCACTCCTACTGATACCCCGGTGAATTTTACGGCTACTAAGGCTCCCTCTGTGAGGGCTAAGGCTGTCAAACCGGCGGTCGCTGCTGTGACCCCAATTCCAAGGGGGAAGAGGACTAGGCAACCCAGTCCTGGGAAATTTGCGAACACCCCCGGGGAGCTCACGCGAAACGGGAGGAGTAGTTCGGCGGCGGTTGATGGGATTCTGGAAAGTGAAGCCTCAACTGTGATTGAGAGAAGCCCCGAGGGGAACAAGCGGAGAAAAGTTATTAAGGAGGTTGAAGCATCATTGGAGGTTGGGGTAATGGAGGATAACAACGAATATGAGGACGAGGAAATGATTGGGGACCAGACGGTGGAGCAACCAATGATTGAGGAGACTGAGAACGAGGGGGAGGAAACGGGAGACGATAAAACAATGTTGGAGACCCCGGTGCAGGATCTAGACAAATCTCAACCTCCACCAAATTCGTCGCCTCCCCTTTTCCTAGGTGGACAGAATAGCTCAGAAGAGGAGGAGGAGGAGGAGCCTTGGCCAGCTCAACCAAAGCCCCAACCCCAACCTAAGTCAAAACTAGTGGGCAAGCGGGTCCTACCTTTACCAGAGCTAGAGGAAGGGGAGGTGGACGGGAGCCCGCAGCCAGGGTCAGCGGAGAAAGACAAAGACAAGCAACTCTTTGATGAGGAGCAGGGGAACGAGGATGAATCTGAAGCCGAGGAACCAGCCCCACGGATTGCCAAGAAAGTGCCCAAGGCCTCCAAATCATCAACCGCTGCTCGTACTAAACCGGGACCTAAGCCGCCCGGAGGTACTGATGAGTATGATCATGGACCAACCACATTTCCCGTGGTCGTACATAGATTGGGGAAGAGTGGCGCCGGCACCAAACTCCCAGCAGGGAGTCAGAGATCCGGTGTTAACCCTGTCGACGTTATCAGTCAAGTAGCCACCGAGTTGATTGACAAATTCTACCAGAGACTGAAGAGCGGGGCAGAGAAGAAAGCCGTGGAAAGCTTCAAGGAGGAACTAAGTCTTAGGTTCTTGGAATTGGTGAGTTCACTCCCCCTTTATGCCAATCGCAGGCTAGCCAACATCACAAACCAGACAGACGCACTGGAGCACAGTATCATCCTCACAGACCGTGTGCGAAAAGCCCAGCGAAGGAAAAATCAACTCATGGCAGAACTTCTAGCAATCAAACGCGAGAGAACCCAAGTCGCCGTACAGATGGACGACGTGCGTCGAGATCACGAAATAGCTAGTAAGAGCGGTGATGTATTTACTCCTCCCATAACACCACAACACACCTAACTAACCAAGCCACCCCCACCACCAGTCCCAAAATCAAACCTCTCAACTCTTTGAAGAAGTCTCCGGAGCCCTCGAACGCGGCAAGTCCCGTGCCCGCAATGGCGGCAACGAGCCAGATAACGTAGGCACAGCAGACCTGGAAGGTCTGGAAGGCCTCGTGAAGAGAGTGTCCGCAATCGTCACCGGCGGCGGACGAGATGGGACGGGGATACTTGGCAAGGTTGTGGAGTTTAACCACTTCCTGGAGAAGGCGGAGAGGGTGTTGCGGGAGCGGAATTCTGGCGGTGCTACTGCTGCTACTGTTGCGAGATAGGTTGTTCTTGATCGGGCGCAATGGTTGCAGTCGGGGGAAGTTATGTATAATAACTAGCATTATTTAGGCGTTATTAATTGTGTTTTGGGGGGTTTAGGTACCAGTGAATAATTAGCACAGCACGATAGGGGTTTTTTTTCTTATATTTCTTTTAGCATTAGTTTTATGTGGTGGTCGAGTTTGTGGTTCAGTAGGTTGCGAGTGTGATGGGTTGGTGAGTGCAAGTTGGTGGGTGTCGGATGGGCATACCGATAGTAGTTATTGGAGCTCATGCTTGATCATTGACATTGTAATATAAAAAAAATCAATCTATCCCCCCACCCCGCAATAGGGGCAACATGTATGATAGAACAACTGTATCGCCACAAGCTCAACCCAGCCCACTGGACAAGCACTATAAATCCGAAGCACTCGAAAATTATATACAACCTCAGCCATTTAACCAATTGCCAGCACAAGAACCCACAGGTGAACCCGTCAAAACAGTCAAAAACGAAAACAAAAGGAGGAAAAAAACAAAAAAACACACCAACTCCCCAGATGAAGATGCAACCAGCGACAAACCAACCAACAAACCCCGGATAGCCATTAAATTTTAATGATAATTACACCTACGGTATGATGCCTAGGCCTCCCCCTCAAGTCTTTGCGGTTGGATCCTTTCTTGAAATCACGATATTCCCCCCCTCGCCAACGCAGACCATGTACTCTCCGGAGAGGCTGTAAGCGACGTGTCTGATTGTGGTCTTGACCTTTGGGATTTCCAGCGTGTAGTGCGCTTTAATGACGGCGAGTGGGTCGCCCAGGGCATCACCTCGAATCGGCGGGAGTTTCGCGGCCGGAGCGGGAGGGGCAGCAGCGGCGGCAGAGGGCCCCCTATCGCTACCGGCGATAAGGCCTGTAGTATTCAGTTCGGCGTTGGCAACCACGGGGCTCCCCCTCTCGCTGGGTGTGGTGGTATCCCTGCCGTCCCGGGTGCCCGTCTCGCCCGGGCTCTTCCCATACATCTCGGTGCGCAGCAGATTCCACATGTGGACCCTCCCACTCGTGCTGCCCATGGCCAAGAAGGTGTCTACGCGCGCGCGCGCAAACAGTCCGAAGCGCATGAAGAAGGGCTCTGTGTCTGGGATGGAGAACTGAAGCAGGCGCTCGAAGCCGCCGCCGAAGGCGGAGCGCGTAGCGCGCCACTCGTGTGTTGTGGGCGCTTTGTCCGGGGCAGGAGGGGGGAGACGGGAGGTGAAGTTTTGGATGGCCCAGAGGACGATTTTGCTCTCCCGCGCTGCCTTCGAGAGGATGTAGTCACCGTGGAAGGCGAGGCAGTCAATGTAGTTTGAATGGATCATCGAGGTGGAGAAGTGTGGGTACATGAGAGTTATGGGTTTGTCCTCGCCCGTGGACACGTCCGGGAGGTCAGGCAGGACCCACAGATTTACGATGTGGTCCATGCCACCGGATAGGAGGTATCGGCCCGAGGAGTGGAACGCTATGGAGAGGATTGTCTCTCTGTGGCCCTCGCCCGCGCATATCAGTGCGCACGGTTGCCGCTGGTGGGCGGGGTCCAGACTCCAGATCCGGACGGTGGAATCGGCTGAGGCGGAGGCTAGGAGCGCTTGGTTCCTCGGCGATGTGAGAATCTCCATGATCTCATCGCCGTGGCCGCTGAGAGTTTGTATGACTTTGCCCATCTTGACGTTGAGGATTTTGATGATCCCAGCTTGTCCACCGACGGCAATCAGTGGATCTCCGGTTTTCAGGTCCTTGGTCCAGGAAGCGGTGCATAATGACTCGTTGAATTTGAGGTCGTCGAGGAAGTACTGTATCACTTCAAGGCCCTTCGTGGGATGTGGTCTCGCGATGATAGTTTCCGGACCGCCAACCACGGCAAAGACTGGATCGTCGTTGGGTTTGGTGTATGGGTAGAAGTACACGCCATAGTAGGTTGCGCTCTTGGTGGTTCCCCTGTTTGGCTGTTTTGCATAGTTAGCGCCGCATCATGTAAAGACTAGGGGCATGCAACATGTTTTCCAGCTCCACAATTTATTTAGGGTAGACGTACCCCAACGGTTGTCCTTACGGAGTGGAAGAGGGCTCTGTTTGACATTCTCGCAGCCGTAGATCAAAGACAGGGGCGGTGTATTTCCGGAACTCGGGCCGGGTTATAGCTGTAGTATCATTGAAGAAGTATATATGGTTTGGGGAATGGGGGTTTTCAGGGGTGATCTTGGGGTACGATAGCTCGCGATGAGAGGAGTTTGGAGCGGTTGAAGAAAAAGTTGCGGCTCTGCGGAAGGCATGTCCCCCAGGGACCAACGAAGGTTTACCCGTGATTCGTTATGTTTGAGGAGCCATCACGTCCTGCGAGTGGGGAGGTCCAATTCATAAAACCTTATGACAGCTTAAGCCGGGTCTGTGGGGGGGGGTTTTTTTCTTTTTTTCCTCTTCTCCCTTTCCCTCTTCTCCCTTTCCCTCTTCCTCTTAATGTGTGACCGGGCGTGCTGTAGAGCACCCATACTTTGCAGGTATAATACCGGTAACTGTACTGGTAGAGGACGAGCAGATGACCGCCATACTTGCTCTTCACGACACCAAGTAGGTAGGTGATGGAGACTGCTACCGTTGGAGATGATTTGCTTACATCCAAATACGAAGTAATTTTCTGCCGGGTTAATAGACAGCGTGGGATAGCGTTTTACCGGTATTAGAGCTGGCTCCCCTCCATTTCTCCCATCAGTACCCAGGAGGCTGTTAGGATACTGATGGTCGCGTTGTATCAGAAAAAAAAAAAGGACTGCCCTGCCGAACTATTCGAGTATCACATCTGTCTGTACGAGTAAATGCTTTGCCATCCCCATGTTTTTATCATCGTTCGGGTGCGGTATGGTATGGTAATAAGTTAACTTGGACCACGCGGGCGCTTTGTGGCTTCCAAGAGGGCTTCGGAATAGAGGCCCCTAATCCCCTTCTCACATCGGTGGCATCCGTTTGCCGGGGGGTTGAAACGATATCATGCTGCTGCGCTGCCAAAGACCACACACAACAGATTACCCGGTATCAGCAATATGGTTGATACAAGTACCAGTACATACAAGTGCGGTACATCAGCAAAAATAAAAGCTTGTGTCCTGAGCGTCCTTTGCATCTGACGCACAGGACGCACAGGATACAAACCATTAAGCAGGATGCAAGACAGCAGCCACCAAATCTCAGGACGCAACGGTCCTTGGCGTCAGAACTCAGGATGCAATGGTCCTTGGCACCAGATGTCAGGACGCAACCGTCCTCCTTGCCAGAACTCAGGATACAGTCAGAACACAAGCAAGCACTACTGCTATTTACAGGATACAATACCATAATTGGACCTTGTGACCTAGGTCACATATGTAGATTCTGGAATAGTTCTAATAAATAGTATTTCTTATCATATTCAAGTTGGTTCTATAATACATAGTATACAAAGAAACCGTCCCCCTAGCACTTTGCCATAAATCTGGCCCAAACTACTTGCCTCAAAGGAAATAACTGCACCAGAATTGGTGCCAGGTAGATGTCCAGGATACCATTGGAAAGCTGGCATCGAGAAGAACAAGACCACCGAGTCTCAAATGCTGGGGCAAAAGCACGCCCAGGCAATCTGGTATCAAAGTCAGCACTCCAACAGAAGTCTGCCAAAACTCCACCAGGGTAAAGACTACTTTCATAACAAACTGTAGCTCTACCAATATTAGTGCGGGGTAGAGGTTCAAGATACTGTTGGAAAGCTGGCGTCGAGTAAAACCAGGCCACCAAGTCTCGGACACTGGGGCCAAAGCACACCCAGGAAATCTGGTGTCAAAGTCAGCACTCTACCAGAACTCTACTAGGGTAAAGACCACTTTCATAATAGGTTGTAGCGCTACCAGTATTGGCGCCGAATAGACGTCCGAGGTAGCGTTGGAAAGCTGGCGTCAAGTAGAACCAGGCTGCTGAGTCTTGGATGCTGGGGCCAAAGCACGCCTGAACAATCTCGCATCAAGCTTAGCACTCTGCTAAAACTCTGCCAGGGTGAAGACCACTTTCCTAACAGCCTGTAGCTCTACCAATATTGGTGCCAGGTAGACATCTAAAGTGCCATTGGAAGGCTGGCATCACGTAGAATCAGGGCACCGAGTATCAGATACTGCATGCAAAGGACGCTCAGGCAATCTGGCGTCAAGGTCAGCACTCCGCCAGAACTCCAGTAGGGTAAAGGCCACTTTTATAACAGACTGTAGCTCTACCACTATTGGTGCCAGGAAGATGTCCAAGATACCGTTGGAAAGCTGGCA